TTCCCCTTAAAACGAAGTCAAAATATTAATATTTTATTTGCATGTAATTTGATACCATGTGCAATAGACTTAAAGATGAGGTATTTATCACAAGATTTTATTTACCGTTTCTTTTCCCTACATAGTCAAAATATTTGGGACCTGTATTGAAATCATGCCCTGTAAGATATATCAGACACCCGAATACCTCATCTATTCCTTCATTTATTGTTCTGGAGATTATACTGTCCTCACCCATATCTCTCGGTCCATCTTCAATTGCCCATAAACACTGAACAAGGCACGATTCTTTAAGTATATGGACAGGACTTGATAAAATTGTCTTCTATCACCCAAGAATGAAATATTTAATAAGAGTTAAAACATTATAAGCTTTTTTTTTGCAGATATCCAAAGTTTTAACAGAATGTCAAGAACTAAGAACTACAAATTTGAAATTAAGACAAAATCTGGGTCAGGCTGTCGATAAATTTGAGTTAATTTTTGGAGAAAAAATAGATTTAGAGAATTTTACAGAAGCTCTACAGGTGGGTGTTTATATATTTCGATTATGACTCATGAAATTCAATATAAGGTTGAGAGGATGTAAATATAAATATCTAACATATTCTTACCAGCATGTTTAAATTTTTTATATTAAAAGTTAATATACATGTATTTATAAATTAAAATCCTAAAAGATATTGTAATATTATACTTCTGTATCTATCTATCATGCATGCCATTAGCTAATTAAAAGGATACAGTCATCTAGATATTACTTTACTGTCTCTAAGCTCAATTTCAGCTGTCTGTATCACTTTTTATAATTAAAAACCAACATCCACTTTCTGCATCTCAACAAAAAGAACAGCAAAAATTTGGACTGTTGTCGCAATTTATTTTGAAAGCCTGACAGAGTAAATATAATGATTGATAACGTAGTACTGTTGGTTAATGACACAGTTGAACTCTCTTTTGCCTAGCTAGATGTCAGTACCAGTATATGAAAAAAAGTCCACTTGACAAAAAAATTAATTAACGATTTGTAATCTGCTGTCAGTAGACAATAGTATATTATTGGCTACAACAAGCCTGCGTCCCTACTGAAGTTGGACAAGTAGAACTTATTCTCATGTTTATATTTCAAGACGAGTTTATAGATAGCTGAAATTGAGCTCTATGATAAGATGACTATATAGATAGCTGAAATTGAGCTTTGTACAGTAAATAGTTAGATGACAGTATCTTATCCTGTAAATAATACCTATCCTAATAATATATTATATAACTTTCTAACCAGGGTCTTCATTTCCTCGAGAAATATAAATTTGAGAAGCAGATTGGCCAGCAGATGAAACTAATTGATTATTTACAGGAACTGTGGCAGGATAATGTCAGTAAGAAGAAAAAGGTGGGTTTATTGGTGCCGTTATTTTAACATGTAATGCTTTCTAACTCTCAAGAGTTAAAGGGACGTTTCTTTTTAAAGTTTTTCATTCTACATTTGTTCAGAGTTTTATTTATTATATAAAGTTTTATAGTCACCTTGATATAAATAAGGAACACTATTTTATGGTATACTACTCCTGAGTAAATGATGTTATGAACTTTTTGTCACGATAGGATTTTTCTAATTGATTACCCATAAGACGAATATTAAGTATATAATAAAACCCTACAGCAAACAAAATATCAAATACTGAAACAAAATATCAAATACTGAAACAAAATATCAAATACTGAAACAAAATATCAAATTCTGATATGAAATATCAAATACTGAAACAAAATATCAAATACTGAAACAAAATATCAAATTCTGATATGAAATATCAAATACTGAAACAAAATATCAAATACTGAAACAAAATATCAAATACTGAAACAAAATATCAAATACTGAAACAAAATATGAAATGGGATATATATTTGTTTTGATCTATTTAAAGAAATATCATTAACCAATCAAATCAATCAGCTATGTCATCATTATCTGACCGCAGGATGTAAACTGGCTTTAGTTCTAAAAGCTCCTAGACAGGATCCTCAAGAACTATATTAATGGTTCTTTTCTTGCATGTTCTTATGAAAACTAAAACTTCAGTTGTATTTTTCTTACAGTCTGGAAAATGGTTTGGTAGTTTAAAAGGTAACAAAGATAATCCATTGGGTAATCTCCCCTTGCCGTTAACAGACCTCCAGCTAGCGTTGGATCAAGAAAGACGTAAAAACCAGACTCTAACAGACCAGCTTGACAGACTGAGACAAGACCTATACCAGAAAGAAAATGAATGTAAGTTGTGGGTAGTGATGGGCTAAAAATTTGTGAATTGCAATGAAAATTGATTTGAATGAATTGACGCATTTGGTAGAGAGCCATTTCTCTTTCTGCAGACCTCTGTCTCTGTCATACTTCTTTTCTATATGAGCCAGCGTGGCAATTTGATTCATATTATGTATGTATCATTAGTTTTGTAGACTTCTGGCCACATATTCTCGTACAATCTAAGCCCTAGGATATCCTAGAATCAATGTTAGAAGATAAGAACCTAGGACATCCTAGCGCTAAGATCGTTACGAGAATACGTGGCCTGGATCACTAGATCTGAACTTTATTTAGTTAGTTAGGTAAATCTTGAAGTCTTTCTTGGCATAGAAAATATTTTAACTTTCTTTTTCAATTTTCGATTTCAGGATAGGAGAGGCTGACAAAGTTTCTCATTTCAATATTAAATTATTCTGTGATGACACTATGAGAAATTTTAAATTGTTTTCTATTTTAGTGTTACGACTACAAGGCTATGCTAGAGATGATTATAATGAGGCAATGTGTCCACCTCAACTTGATACATCACCAACTTCCTCTATTACATCAGCATCATCATCATCAGGATCATCAAAACCAACATCCTTAGCTAAATCATCATCAGTAAGATCTGCCACCAAACACGGCAGTTCATCTTCTCTCATCATCACTACCAGTTACACCATGCCACCCCGAACTCCCCAGCCGTCCACCAAACGTATGCATCACAACATCCCTCATCGTTTTACTACTGGTTTAAATACACGTGCTACCAAATGTGCTGTTTGTCTTGGTAGCGTCCATTTTGTGAAGCAGGCTGCCAAGTGTCTAGGTATGTTCATCAAGCAGTTGTTTTTCAATTTATAGGGGTATAGTTGTCTTAATTATTACTTTACTAGCTAGTAGATCTCAGTTTCAGATATTTGCTTCACTAGCTAGTAGAGCTCAATTTCAGATATTTGCTTCACTAGCTAGTAGATCTCAATTTCGGCTTTTTGCTTTACTAGCTAGTAGAGCTCAATTTCAGATATTTGCTTTACTATCTAGTAGATCTCAATTTCAGATATTTGCTTTACTAGCTATTAGAGCTCAATTTCAGATATTTGCTTTACTATCTAGTAGATCTCAATTTCAGCTATTTGCTTTACTAGCTATTAGAGCTCAATTTCAGATATTTGCTTCACTAGCTAGTAGATCTCAATTTCGGCTTTTTGCTTTACTAGCAAGTAGAGCTCAATTTCAGCTTTTTGCTTTACTATCTAGTAGATCTCAATTTCAGATATTTGCTTTACTAGCTAGTAGAGCTCGATTTCGCCTTTTTTGCTTTACTAGCTAGTAGAACTCAATTTCGGCTTTTTGCTTTACTAGCAAGTAGAGCTCAATTTCAGCTTTTTGCTTTACTATCTAGTAGATCTCAATTTCAGATATTTGCTTTACTAGCTAGTAGAGCTCGATTTCACCTTTTTTGCTTTACTAGCTAGTAGATCTCAATTTCGGCTTTTTGCTTTACTAGCAAGTAGAGCTCAATTTCAGCTTTTTGCTTTACTAGCAAGTAGAGCCCAATTTCAGCTTTTTGCTTTACTATCTAGTAGATCTCAATTTCAGATATTTGCTTTACTAGCTAGTAGAGCTCGATTTCACCTTTTTTGCTTCACTAGCTAGTAGATCTCAATTTCGGCTTTTTGCTTTACTAGCAAGTAGAGCTCAATTTCAGATATTTGCTTTACTAGCTAGTAGATCTCAATTTCAGATATTTGCTTTACTAGCTATTAGAGCTCAATTTCAGATATTTGCTTTACTAGCTAGTAGATCTCAATTTCAGCTATTTGCTTTACTAGCTATTAGAGCTCAATTTCAGATATTTGCTTCACTAGCTAGTAGATCTCAATTTCGGCTTTTTGCTTTACTAGCAAGTAGAGCTCAATTTCAGCTTTTTGCTTTACTATCTAGTAGATCTCAATTTCAGATATTTGCTTTACTAGCTAGTAGAGCTCGATTTCACCTTTTTGCTTTACTAGCTAGTAGAGCTCAATTTCAGCTATTTACTTTATTAGCTAATAGAGCTCAATTTTAGCTTTTTTCTAGTAGAGCTCCATTTCAGTTTCTGTATAGTACACTAAATAATTAGAGTTTTTTTTTTAGCTAGTAGAGCTGAATTTCAGCTAGTTGTCTGAATATTAATCATACCAGACATTCAATATGTTAAACTCATGCAATTGGCAAACAACCTGACATCAACTAACAAAATGAAGATCCTTTCTTCTAGATTATATCATCTCAAGAATGATTCTAGTTGAATCTTTCAAATCTCATGAAATATTTGCTGTTGTTAATTTCAGAATGTAATTTAACATGTCATCCGAAATGTGTGTCGTCTGTCCCGTCAACGTGTGGTCTACCAACAGAATACGTCCAACATTTTACAGACATGATGAACAAGGTTAATAATATTGATGAAGGTGTTGAATCGTCTACTGATGATGATGATATCTCTATCAAGATGGAAGGCTGGCTGAATGTTCCAAGGTAGTTTATTATTAGTTATTGATATTAGAGTACTAGGATTGGTTGAAGATTTCAATCTGGACCAATAAGATTGGAGTATGAGAGTATGATATATTCGTATTGAATAAACTGGAATATAATTTCTATTTATAGAACAGGAAAAGCTGGTTGGGAGAAACGTTGGGCCCAGTTAGAGGGAACATTATTAATGTTATATAAAGAGTGTAATGATGCCAACCCAGTAGATATGTTCGAACTTAGTCCTATGGATGGGTATGTTACAGTACACAGCGCCGTGACCTACTCAGAACTTTCAGGAACTGCAGCCTCAGATTTACCGTTTGTTATGAGGTTGGATCAGGATCCTAGAACTACTTGCTGGCCAGGAAGGTTTGTTATTATTTCATTGTTTCAATAAACTGCTTATCACAGATGGGGCTGATGTGTAAAACATGGAAAATTAAGTTAACTTAAGCATTGTCTGGATTAAGGGTTTAGTAGTTCTGGGACAGTGAACCACAGCCTTGTACACTACTAACTATGTTTTAGATCCGTAAGTCAACAGCTGAAAATTAAAAAAGAGTGGGCTCATGCCCTGTCTTACAAATTTTAACCATTGTACACTGCATAGCGTTGCCCAAAAATTTTTACATTTCTAAGATATATTCCTGATAGTTTATAAAATTCTGATTTTTAGAATGATCTACCTAATGACCACAAATTTTAGTGAGAAACAGCGCTGGGTAGCTTCTTTAGAGGCAGCTATAAAAACAGCTCATAGAGGAGAGGTCTTCCGTCGAAATGTAAGTCATTAGAATATTCTCATTGGTTTACTTCTAACTCCTGTTGAGTGAGTGTGCTTACTTTACCCATTTGCCTATGACCTGGCTTTGTTTTCTTGAAACGATCTTAGCACTAGGATGTCCTAGTCTTAATCTTTAACACTGTTTCTAAGATTCCTAGTGCTAAGATGGTTTTGAGAATATCTGACCTGATATTTGAATTAACTCCTATTTCCTAAACAAGTGGATCTGATAAGGCTTTTTAAATTAACTCTTAGAATGTTTTTTTTATGGTATACAATGACTGCATAGACTTTTAAGAAGTATTTTGCAACCTAAAGAAAAGATATATACATGTAGAGTCATACCATTTATTTTTTATTTATGTATTTATTTATTTTTTATTTATGTATTTAATTATTTATTTTTTATTTATGTATTTATTTATTTTTTATTTATGTATTTGATTATTTATTTTTTATTTATGTATTTATTTATTATTTATGTATTTATTTATTTATTTTTTATTTATGTATTTATTTATTTATTTTTTATTTATGTATTTATTTATTGAATTATTAAATGTATTTGATAATAATTTCTTTATTTATATAACAGAGACTACAGATGAATACTATCCTGTCTATGTCCTGTTCAGATAGAAAAGAGTTCAACTGTTCTTTAGTCCTGTCAAAACAGGTAACTATAGTAATATTTCTTATCCCAGCATTTCTTTCACAATCTTAAAGGCAAAGGCATCAAATTGCTTTAGAACTTGTTTGGATTGATCAATAAAGATATATAATATATATAACTTTTATGCAAGTTGTGACAGTTAAAAGCTGCCTCAAAAATCATTATTTGATGATATGCACTGTCTCCCCCTTCCTCCCCTCATAGACCCTCTAAATATAACATTGTTTATGTTACAGCTAGTATTACTGGGAGCTGAAGAGGGGTTATTTGCGTTGACTATTCAAGATAAAACAAATGAGCTGATTCAGCTGACTGGAATATCCAGTATACATCAGATATCTCAAGCCTCTGGTCTGGGTTTAGTTGTTTGTATCACAGGTTCGTCACAAATTTCTAATTCTACATAGGGGATATAAAACTCCCATTTCATTTCATTTGTCTAAAAAGGCACAGCACAGTTGGATGTAATTTGAAATTACTTGATTTTGGACATTAAATCTGATAAGAGATAGGAATGACAAAGAAAGAAACAGCTATATTATACAAGGGTAACAACAACAAAGTTCATAGTTAAGGATCATTGCTACCAGCAGGTTCTTGGCCAGGACCAAGACTATCACAGGTTGATCAAGATCAGAAACCACAGCCACCAATTGCTTAACTTCGCACGTAACGTCATGTTAAGAACTAATGCTCTAACCTACTGTGCTATAGAACTCAAGGTGAAAAATAGCTCTATCAGCTGGTGAATAAAATATTTAGAAGACAACATGCCTTTTATTTATATTTTATCAACAGGTCAAGACAGAAAATTAATAATGATAGAAAAAAATATAATAAAATGCCGAGTTTCCCAGGCTACCACACCAGAAACGATTCCAGTTCCGTTTAAACATGTTGATGGTATTCAGAGTTGTACAGTGTTTGATGTTGGCATGTGGGACGACGCCACCTATCTCTGTGTAGGAATGCCTAAAAAAGTAGTCCTCATGAAATTTAATCCTAGTTTGGCCATGTTCTGTTTGAGAAAGGTAAATTTTTAGAAAATAAAAGCTAAGCTGGATATACTATTTCTTCCTCTAATTTTAGCAATGTTTTAATTCAGAACAACATGTATATATTATTATTCCTTCAGTTAGATTCAAACGCTCCTGGAAAGGGTTTGGTCATTAATTGACTATCCTTGTATTTTGGCAATATCTGTTCTCATTGCTATAGTTTCTGAGTGTTGACTTGCCTATTAATCATTTTAAAACTTAAGATGGCAGACCAGAAGATATCCAGTCATAGTTATTTAGAAACAATAAATAAAAATCTATCAACAATTTCCCATTAAGCTCAGACAGAATTTAAAATTTTTGTTTTTAGGAATTTCCCAGTACAGAGCCATGTAGTTGTGTATGTATAACAGAATATACAGCTTTAGTTGGAACAGAAAAATTTTACTCCATCAACATGGAACATCCTAGTTATATGGTTGGTAAGTATCATGTGATTTCATAATCTATTCTGATTGGTTAAACAGATTTTAAACATTTTCATTAACATAAATATTTCAATTTTTGCCAATACAACAAGCCTTACTTCACCATCTTAACTTAATTTGCTTTTCCGAAAATATTCTGGGTTTTTCATCTTTAAAATTTGTTTAGAGCATCCACATAGCTAACAATGTTTACTAATTACTTGGTATTTAGGTTTGTATGCCTGGCATCCTTTCAATATAACTTTTTTGGGGTATTTAGGTTTGTCAACTTGACACCTCTTTCAGAGAGTCCACATAGCCAATAATGTTTGTTTAGTAAGTTTGTTAACATCCCTTCAAAGAGTCCAATAAGCTGATGATATCTATTTGGTATTTAGGTTTGTGAACTTGGCATCCCCTGTCTTTTAGAGAGTCCACATAGCTAATAATATTTTTGGTATTTTTATTGATTTGTTGATATTTTGCAGATTTTGTTGATAGACAAGACAGTACCTTAGCGTTTGCTGCATTTGGTGCTGCTAATCACCATAGTTACCCACTAGCTGTTGTCCAGGTGTCACCAGCTGGTCTTCCGTTAGAGTTTTTACTCTGTTTCCATGGTGAGTAGACATTGAAACTTAGATGGCAGTTGAAAATTTTGTAGGTAGAGAGTTTACAGTTAAACTTATGTATAATGCGCACCCCTTCTTACACTTATGGAAGTATTAAAGTAGATCTAAAGAGGTTTTCTAAAAATTTTATATGTATGAGGGACACTTATAGGAGAAATTTGCACCGTTCTAATTTTCAATCAAATGTCTGTTGTTTCTGCAATTTCAGTTAAAATTTGATATCGCTACTTGCGAAGGGCCTAATTTTTTGAATTATTGATGTCATCAGACACTTAGTTTAGTTGATTAGCAGTAAACCACAGACGTGTGATAGAAAATTGGATTGGTGCAAATTGATTCTATCAGTGTCACTGCTACACATAAAAATTTTAAAAAAAACTCTTACAATCACTTGAAGTTTTGTAAGCCTACTAATGAGCTCTAGTCTGTAGATGTATATGCATTACAGGGTTCTGATAAGCTGTTATTGCCAGTCAAATTCCAATATGAATTTGTTTCAGGACAGTCTGTATTAAATTGTAATGAGTTTTGTGAGTTATCTCCCTGTTTGAATAATTGTTCTAACAAAAGATAAAATTTTGAAACTATGTTATTAATACTTTATAATTGTCAAGTTATTTATATTTGTAGAAATTGGTGTCTTTGTTAATAACAAAGGACAGCGAAGCCGACCAAAAGATGTGAAATGGAGTGGTCTCCCCTTATCATTCGGTAAGTTAGATATTTTCCAAAATGATGAATGGATAAGTAGGTCATTGAAAAGATAACTATGTCATAGAAAGTATAATTAGGTCATTAAATGAATAACTAAGTCAAAGAATGGACAACTAGGTCATGAAATGGATAACTAGGTCATAGAATGGATGACTAGGTCAGCTCGGATAACTAGGTCATAGACTAGACAGGCTCGTAGAACGGATCACTAAGTCAAAGAATGGATGACTAGGTCAAGGAATGTATGACTAGGTCAAGGAATGTATGACTAGGTCACGGAATCGATGACTAGGTCAAAGAATTGATGACTAGGTCCAGGAATCGATGACTAGGTCAAGGAATCGATGACTAGGTCAAGGAATTGATGACTAGGTCAAGGAATGTATGACTAGGTCAAGGAATGTATGACTAGGTCAAGGAATGTATGACTAGGTCAAGGAATGTATGACTAGGTCAAAGAATTGATGACTAGGTCCAGGAATCGATGACTAGGTCAAGGAATTGATGACTAGGTCAAGGAATCGATGACTAGGTCAAGGAATCGATGACTAGGTCAAGGAATTGATAACTAGGTCAAGGAATGTATGACTAGGTCAAGGAATGTATGACTAGGTCACAGAATCGATAACTAGGTCAAAGAATGGATAACTAGGTCAAGGAATTGATGACTAGGTCAAGGAATTGATGACTAGGTCAAGGAATGGATGACTAGGTCAAAGGATGGATGACTAGGTCAAGGAATCGATGACTAGGTCAAGGAATCGATGACTAGGTCAAGGAATGGATGACTAGGTCAAGGAATGGATGACTAGGTCAAAAAATTGAAGACAAGGTCATGGAATCGATGACTAGGTCAAGGAATTGATGACTAGGTCAAGGAATTGATGACTAGGTCAAGGAATTGATAACTAGGTCATAGAATGGATGACTAGGTCAAAAAATGGATAACAAGGTCAAGGAATCGATGACTAGGTCAAGGAATCGATGACTAGGTCAAGGAATCGATGACTAGGTCAAGGAATTGATGACTAGGTCAAAGAATGGATGGCTAGGTCAAGGAATGGATGACTAGGTCAAGGAATTGATGACTAGGTCAAGGAATTGATGACTAGGTCACGGAATCGATAACTAGGTCAAAGAATGGATAACTAGGTCAAGGAATTGATGACTAGGTCAAAGAATTGATGACTAGGTCAAAGAATTGATGACTAGGTCAATGAATTGATGACTAGGTCAAAGAATGGATGACTAGGTCATAGAATGGATAACTAGGTCATGAATGAAAAACTAGGTCGAAGAATGGATAACTAGGTCATAGATAGGATAACTAGGTCAGAGTGGATAACTAGGTCACATAATGTATAACTAGGTCATAATGGATAACTAGGTCATAGAACGGATCACCTAGTCATAGAATAGATAACTAAGTGAAAGAATGGATATCTAGGTCATTGAATTGATAACGAGCAAACATTTTCCGTCAAAAATCTCATAAGTAGGTTACAGATTCCGGCAACTTTAGATATCTCGTCCCCTCTCAGACCTAAACCTTCTCCGCCACTGTAACTAGGTCTAGGAAATGATCACTAGGTGACAGAATAAATAACTAGGTCATGATAACTAGGTCATTAATTGGATAAGTAAGTCATCAAATGGATAACTAGGTCATGGCTCATGAAAGATTTCAAAGAAGTTAGATTAAAATAAGATTTCAGAGGTGATGGTTGGTATCTGATAGAGAATCTACATGAATTTTCCCGGGTAAGACCTAATCAATTCTTAGCCATGTACTCAAGGTCCATGATTCAAAGATTTGTATTCTCTGGCTTACTACTTCCTTATTTCTTTCTTTGATTTTTCATATGTTAAATTTCAGCTTATAAAGAACCATTCCTGTATATTACCTATTTTAATTCAATACATGCCACAGTGGTTCCTGCTGATAAAGAAAGTGTTAGGTATGTAGTTTCTATCTCACAGCGCCAAATTACATTCATCTCACAGGTTTACCAAGTACCTGACACATTTCATTCATGCACCAGGGTACTCCTGTAATTTGGGGCTTGTTACAAAATGAATGTAGCTTTCCACACAAAGATACTCTTCTGGGGTCATATGCTGCATTCGATACTTGCAGTGTTTACAGTCCGTATCTCCTTCATAATGTATTGGTACTACTTCACTATTATGATTAAAAATGTCTACTTTTTGTTGAATTTTGTATTTTCCCAGTTATATCTGACTTCAGTATTTGATGAACTAATGTCTTAGTTTAATTCCCCTATCATATTTTAAAGGGAAAGGTTTCTGAGACAGGTCCATAAAATGGCCTACCTGTCTCTTTAAAATCAGTTACATACATTATCAGTTATATCTGAATTTGATTTTTGTTAAATGGTCAGAACAATTTTTCTATTGTAGAGGTCGACAAACTCTAATAGACGTACACAACCCTCGATATTTGGGCAGTGCTGTGACCCTAGGGTCAGTGTATGTGACAGCAGTAAATAATGGTATGACAGAGTTGTTGTGTATACGAGGACAGGAGGATTACCCCGATATTGAATTAGATGATAACAAGGAGAATATTAGAGGGTAGGTTTTTTATATTTTTATATTTATACGCTCTCTATTCTAATTCTTCTGTTGTTACTCTGTGACTCAACATCTGAGTTAATGAGGGAATGGACGATCTACGGTGTCCAGTTCAGGATTATCAATACAGTAGAAAATAGTAGAAGCGAATCATGTGTATGAAAAGTGGATGATGAGTTAAGAATTTATAAAAACATATTAATTATATACAGGATGAATTCAACCGACCACCACACTGGTGACAAACTAAAACTGACGCTCTCGCATGCACTCAGTCACGCTTCAGTCCACTGATGCGCAAACATGCTCCCTGTTCATATTTGACAATCAGCCAAGTTAACAGTCTGCACCGTGTCCGGACACGTACCTCTTGTGTTCATTTGTTCTATTTCTTTCTGTATCGATCACTATACACTGAACCGTACATCGTCTATTCATGGCTTTAAGGATACGTTACAGTACAGTAAATATAACAACAAATTTCTATTTTATCTTGCAGGAGTATGAGACAGAAAGTTCGGTTTAAACAGAGTCCATTGAAACACACGTATCATCAACGTCAATCCTCTTTATCATCAATAGACAGTAATACAACCACAGAATCATCTGATTTATGATAATTGTCACTCTGGGAACCTGGCCACGTATTCTCAAAACGATCTTAGAGCTAGGATATCCTAGGTTCTTATCATCTAACATTGCTTCTAGGACATCTTAGCGCTAAGATCGTTTCGAGAATACGTGGCCAGGTTCCCGTTTCACAAAAATCTTAAAGCATCTGTCGTAAGTTTGGAATTAAACAATGTAAATTACCAGACTTGCGACAAAAAAGAGAAAAGTAACCTGACCTTGTTTTATTATTGTAAATTACTCACAGTGTTGTCAAGGGTGGCCTGAGCAGCTCTGGACCTCGGAACATTGGGTTATCCAGGACCTCCAACCCACTGTAAAACTGATCATGTTTTTCCAGCCAGTAAGGAAAACCAAATTGTTCCTTGCCCTCATCCCACCATCTTCGCAATATCAAGCCATAACGAACTTCGTCTTATACCTTGACTGCAATAGTCACCATTCTTGTATCACGAAAGTTTGTAAAATAGCAATTCGAATGGATTGTACGCAAGTGATAATCAATTTACGTCTCTCTGTAGTGTACAATCCAATCAAAGCGCTGCATTCCGTGATACAAGAATAGTGGCTATTACAGTCAAGGTATAAGATGAATAGCTTGACATGTTGAAGATGCCACCCTCCCTATACTCAATTTTCTCATCAGATCTAGGCTCTGATATTGCATTGAAATCAAAGATACAAAAAAAGTATATTTTTAACATTATAATTATCTGAATCGTAGGACACCTGACTCGTGTCCGGTGGTCATTGGACGTATATATACATGTGAGTTTTTGTATTTGGAATATAGAAGCCTATAGTTTGAAGAATAGTTTGTACAGTTTTTCATCAACATATTGATAACTATTAACATAATATTTTATTGTGTACATTTTTTTTCTGTCACAGTTTTTTGAAAATTTTGACCAGGAATTGAAAAATACATCTATATTTAAAAATGTTTTGTTCCATTCTCAGCGGGCACATGCTCGCTAACCTGATTCGGAAAGTTTCAGGGTTCAATCTCGGCTTAGATCAACATGAATAGCTTTTACATTTTTCAACCAGGTTTTCTTGTCAGTGATAAAGGTCATAGGGAGGACATGGAAAAACATCAAATCGTTTGGATGGTACAATAAACCTGGGTCGCGGGTACTAAAAGCTCTGCTTGAGTTTTGCCGACCGGCTGAAGAGTCAAAAATCTCTAGTCGGTCGTTTTCCACTATGATCATGTGTAAATCATCATCAAGGAAAATGAAACTGATTGGATGATGACGCTCTGTCCTGCACACGATAAAACAATTGGCGACAAATATCAAACTGGTATAATATTATGAATCCAATCGGCAACGCGATAATCTTGTCTTGGAAGCTCGGGCACACATGAGATGTTACTCAAGATTGACCTTATCGTTATGCCAAATTTTAACCTCCGGAAGTTGAAATATTGACTACCCTCTCCTAGCATAGTTAGAGTGGCTGTTACTTTTCTCGAACCTTCAATTACTATTCTTATTTTTGCACAGAAATTTCAAATTCCAGTCGAAGTTTCCGATTCCACGACTCGAAATTCGAATTCCACAAGCCTATGAAAGCTACGAGATACCTTTCGGGGGTAATACAATCGATCAATTTTATAGATAGAAGATTAGAGCTAGCGTAATTTCATTATAACATCGAGTGAGGATGTGTAGCATATTATTTTTGGGGTATTGTTTTGATGTGTTCTTTGATGAGAAAACAGATGTTGTTCAGATCACGTCAATTCTTGCACAAGTCGATCCGGTTACTGTAGCCGGTAAACTAAGTTGTTATCCATGTAATATCATTTTCAAGAGGTTGGTATTTAGGATTTTCTAAAACAGTGGGGTTTTTAGGAAACATTAGTTAAAGGGCTCAAGCAGAGGCCACAAAATTTTCCAGGGGGCCCACAGGATATGCTTTCACTATGTAAATTGATAACAATTTTGAAAGTAGGGGGCCAAAGCCGGGCTAGCGGTGGGAATGCACCCGTAGAAATGCCACTGCTCTAGAACCGAAGGAAGTATCCTTGTAATATCAATGCCAAGAGGCAGGAGCTAATGGCCAGCGGTAAAGGGAACTTTGAAACCATGCTCTGTAATCCATTCATAAATTCAAGTTCTGAATGTTAAAGAAGTTCCCAGGGAACAAAAATTGTTCTCCTTTTAAAATCAGTGTCAATATTTTTGAGCAAGAGCCATTTGGTAGACAGGATCCCCAAGAACCTTAGTTGTTATCGCTGTTAAAAAATATGTTTCTTGCAGTGTTTGAAATAGGGCTACGGTTTGTGCCAGTGCTACGGTTGGGTGATAGCGGTTTGAAAGCCAACAATCTGCCGACTTTCGAAAGCACTTGCTGCAGAATCAAATGTTCCGAGAAGTATTCGGATCCACGGCACCTATTCACATGACAGATGATAAGAGTTTGGGCAATGGCTAAGTTAACGGATTCCCCATAATTACTACCAGAAAAGAATAACATCGAAAATGGCCTCTTTTTTAATATAAAATTCATTTCTTTAGAAAGTTCCAAGCTGTGCCAAATAAGGTGTGGAATAATTTCCAAAATTAATCAAATTGTTCTTTTCCTTCTCCAGTTTATCACAGTCTTTTGGTTTGTTGTTTCTTTCATTGCAAAATGTTCGGAATCTCTGAAAATGAAAAAAATCAACAAAATTTGTAAACGAACTGGGCTGAAGTTTAACCTAAATTAAAATGCAATGAATGGAGTTTTACGTCCAGATTTTCAGCATCATGTGGGCTAATGAAATCAGGCACCATGCAGAGTGCAATGAGGGAACTTTTGCCAGACAGCGGCATTAGTCTGCTTTTTTTATTTCCATCTGTTCAGGGATTAGCCTGTAGCACACGGGGCCTCTGAACGACTTGACGCTTTTTCCATTTCAGTCACTCTTATCTACGAAGTTTAACCTAAAAGAAACATGTAATGTACTATGGATTTACATTTTGCAATGGTTGAATAATGCCCAACCAATCTTAAAACTTCTGTCGCCTTGAGTGATGTACATTTGATGGAATAATGGACAGAGTTGTCTGCTCTTACCAATTTACCAGACAAAATATCAGCCTTTAATGACCGATGCAATATTCAACTAACGAATTGAGCTGAATGAATGTTCCACTCAAGGGAACTAACGAACATTGGCGAAGGGTTGAGCCGAAAGTCGTCGCAGCTCTGTGTAAACCAAGTGAGACAAGATGATAAAGGATACATTAATGTTTACTTACACTAACTTGGCGTAATCTAAAACCATCGCCCGGAAAACCTGAAAAAGTCATAGACTATGACTATGATGACTATGGTGATAATATTGAGTACATCTCATGCTGTATAATATAAGTCCTCATCAGGGCAGTGCCTTTGTTAAATGCAGAAAAATGTTCTAAATGTTGCAGAGCGATAGACCTAGGTCGTTTGTCTCGACCTATGAATACCTGCTGTCCTCTAGCAATGCCCCGATAGCTACGGGCGTAACCTTGTAATGAACTTGGGCGATTCGTTTCTAATATGGAAACATGACGGTGAAAAGCATGTGTCCGAATGCACCAAATCAATTCATTGGGAGAATCCTCTCAGACCCTCCAAAAAAGGCCTGCGACTATGCCGTTATACCCCCCGTCTAGGAAGTTATTGATCTCAACGAACAAATTGGGTGACATATTAGATTGAATCTAAAATAATGAAATAACTTACTTAAAGGTACGTTTAAGTCTCCCTCGATTGTCATCACACCATCCTTGTTCCTATCAAGTTGGTTGAAAAAATATCGTCCGAAATCTTCATCCCATCCGTACCTACATCTCCAATGAAAGACCACTTCCCACTCCTTAATCACAGCCATATCCCCTTAAAAATAAATAAATAAATGAATATATTAATGAAAGAATGAATGAATGAATGAATGAATGAATGAATGAATGAATGAATGATTTATTTATTTATTTATTTATTTATTTATTTATTTATTCATTTATAAATAAATATATATAAATTCATTTCTTACACTCTTCTAACACTAAGTCTAGAGACAATATTTAGCTCCTCATCAGATAGAATACTGGGCCCGATACTTGTTACTAGTTTGTCGTGAATTTCGCTAGACCGGATAACTAGACAATATTAGGAATTAATGGCTCAGTGGTCACTGTAATTTTTCAATCATCGTTGAGTTCAGGTAGAATATGTTCAGTCACCGATCGGACGTTTCAGTTGCTGCCAAATGCTAACAGACATTGGCCACTTCCTCTCTGATTCTACAAGTTGCAATACATTCACACCGAGCAAAAGCAATACCAACCCTGAAAGGGGTGCTAAATTGACATAACTAGTCCCCCCCCCCCCTCCCTCCCCTCTTATTAGGTCTTACCGTCATAATTGTAATCGATGAGATCTCTTTCAAAATCTGAGTTGTCGGTCTTGCCATCATTATTTCTGTCGTTATCATAACCAACCAGCTCAACTCGAGCTTTCAAAGATTTAGGAGGATTACAGCCATACAAGGAATACCACAAACTATTCAAATAGAACAACAATAAAATACAGATATAAATGTTGCATGTATTCTCGAGGTTTCCACACGGGAGATGTGTCGTTCTGAAAAAAAATCTCGGACGACAGATGTATAGAGATAAAGAGATAATACAATTTTTAAGTATATATCACAAATTAAGAAACAAAAATATCGAACATTATTACCCTGTCGTTAGACCGAAATATCTGCCTCTATTCCAGTCTCTAATAGCTAATCGTTTTTACGAAAATAGCAATCAGATACTGGAAGAATGGCAGATGTTTCGCACTACTATGTCATTAAATGCCCATGAAATGTGGCCCTAAGAAAGTGTGATGTGTCTCTAAATACACCAATATACACATTTCGGATCATTGTCCCATCCGTTTTGTCCGTATCAACTTACCTGTAGTAAACCCCTGAAACGCAGCTAATTGTGGTGAATAACAACAACAATCGTAACATGGCGGTCATTTTTACTGAAAAATTAAAGAAAAAAAAAGCATTGTAAACATAAAAGGACGAAAGAGGATTTAAATTTCCTGTGTAGGTACAACTTCACTTCTTCACTCTTTAAAAAGGAATAAATGATATGCATAGAGAGGTTTTTGATAGGAGATAAACTATTGGTTCATCTCTATTAGTCATGGTGGATATTAGCGATCAGACACAGAGGTACAGAGACTGACCTCCATCAATAATAACTATCAGAGACAAGACATAGAATCAGCAAGTTTCAGACTGACCTCTGTCAATAATAACTATCAGAGACAAGAGATAGAATCAGCAAGTTTCAGACTGACCTCTGTCAATAATAACTATCAGAGACAAGAGATAGAATCAGCAAGTTTCAGACTGACCTCTGTCAATAATAACTATCAGAGACAAGAGATAGAATCAGCAAGTTTCAGACTGACCCCTGTCAATAATAACTATCAGAGACAAGGGATAGAATCAGCAAGTTTCAGACTGACCTCTGTCAATAATAACTATCAGAGACAAGAGATAGAATCAGTAACTTTCAGACTGAACTCTGTCAATAATAACTATCAGAGACAAGAGATAGAATCAGTAACTTTTAGACTGACCTCTGTCAATAATAACTATCAGAGACAAGAGATAGAATCAGCAAGTTTCAGACTGACCTCTGTCAATAATAACTATCAGAGACAAGAGATAGAATCAGCAAGTTTCAGACTGACCTCTGTCAATAATAACTATCAGAGACAAGAGATAGAATCAGCAAGTTTCAGACTGACCTCTGTCAATAATAACTATCAGAGACAAGAGATAGAATCAGTAACTTTCAGGCCGAACTCTGTCAATAATAACTATCAGAGACAAGGGATAGAATCAGTAACTTTCAGACTGACCTCTGTCAATAATAACTATCAGAGACCAGATACTGAGTCAGCGACTTTCATACTGACCTCTGTCAATAATAACCATAAGAGACTTAATATAGAGTCAGCAACTTTCAGACTGACCTCTGTCAATAATAACTATCAGAGACCAGATATAGAGTCAGCAAGTTTCAGACTGACCTCTTTCAATAATAACTATCAGAGACCAGATATAGAGTCAGTAAGTTTCAGACTGACCCCTGGCAATAATAACTATCAGAGACCAGATATAGAGTCAGCAAGTTTCAGGCTGACCTCTGGCAATAATAACTATCAGAGATTACCAGCTATAGAATCAGCAAGTTTCAGACAGACTAATAATTACTATCAGAGACACTTGATATAGAGCCAGAAAGTTTCACATTTACCGCTAACTTTACTTGATAACTTTCTGGGGGTAGATAAGTCAGCAAGTTTCAGATTGATGGGTGTCAATGGTAACAATCTGGATATATAAGATATAAGATATAATATAAAAAGATCTGTTCCTAACTGAACGTCTGCGAGTCCCGTCCTCAAAAAATTAAAATGGTAACTTCCTTCCAGTTGTATTTCCAACATTCAAAGTCAATATATATCATAATATATAAAAGTGATTTAAGAATCTTACCTTAGTCAAGAGTTGATGGGTAATGTGACCATCAAGGGAGAGAAACTATATTGAAGGGTAAATGTCTTATTTACGTACAATTCAGATTCAGATTCAGACCACGTGACTATGGGATCTGGTATTGACATTGAGCGTTATAGTTCGATGTTTACATTAATCTTCTTGAGTCATCTATACAAGGTAACACAAAATATACAGAATGAAATAGCATATTTTATATTGAGTCCCACATAACGGGGTTAATATTTGCTTACTAAGAAAGTTCAGTAATACAAAACGAAAATATTCATGCGACCTATCTTTTGGCTTTTAATTGAACTAGAGTGCTGCGTCATGCAATACGCAAAGTGCGCGGGGGTTAGTCACATAGTGTATATAAACTAACATGATCAATCATCATTTCATTTTGAAAGTAAATCAAACAATGAATTCAACAAATTTGGTAATCGTGGGTTTGTTTCTAGAATAAGGCTTCACCGAGGGCCCGGGGGTGGGTCCGGGTGATAGGGTGGGGAACACTACGCGAAGAAGTATTAGCACCAAATGGTTATGTGTATTCTCCAGAAGTAAGCTAGTCAAATAATGATGTAGCGGTTTGTTTTCAACAAGCTTGGTGATCGTTGGTTTGTTTGTATTTTTCACCGAGGGTCGAATATTGGGCCTGGGTGATGGGGTACACACCATAAAGGTTGTGTGTATTTCAAAACTAGTTAAATAATGATGTAGCGGATTCTATTCAAGATTGAAATGTTTGGTTTGATATTTGCTGACTGAATTTCTTTAATTAGTAATGATTCATGGTCGCTGAAGGTTGATTTGACCTACAAAACGTGACTAGCAGATCGATGTTGCCAAAAGAAAAACATTTGTTTGTTTTTGGTGGACAGTAACTGCTAAAAATTAATTGCCAGCATTTTGTCTGGAATTTTATATCTTTTTCTCGAGAATATTTGCGGACCCACTCCGTTTCTATTTTCCTTTTTCAGGTAAACCTCGTATAGATGATAAATATTCACGATGTCACGTGATTTTCAAACTGGCCAATTACCACGCTTGAATGACCATTATATTTTGTAAATAAGAACACACGCACAAAATCATTGAATGATATATGATTACCGGCTACCATTCTTGTACTTAACAGCTTGTTAAATTCATACGAAGCTATTTGGATAATGTGGTCCACAGTTGCATCTATTTTCTTTGATGAAATAATGTGGAAACGATACCCCCCCCG